GTAATAATACTAATAATTAAAAATAAATACAAATGGAAGTGGAAGAAATACAGCACAAAGATGATGGCATTAGCCTGAGGCCACTGGATGCATTGTATTCACTTATAAAACACTGTCAACCATGGAGACCAGTGGACTTGAGGCCCAAAGCAACCCACCAGGCTCCCGCCCTGAGGGAACCCTGGGCATCACAGTCCAATGGAAGGCTGTGGCAGGAAGGCTCTGCCACAACCGCAGAGGAAAAAGCAAGGGCCTTTTTATCCTTTTTTTTTTTTTTGAGACGGAGTCTCGCTGTGGTCCGCCCAGGCCTGGGTGCAGGTGGCGCGATCTCAGCTCAGCTGCAAGCTGTGTCCTGGGTTTTTTTGTTCTCTGCCTCAGCCTCCGTGGTGTGTGGTGTCTCTGTTCATGTTCCAGCTAGTTTTTGTATTTTTAGTGTGTAGGTTTTTTCTCATGTAGCCAGGGGTTTGTTTTTGATCGCTGCCTGACTGCTCGGATCACCCGCTCGCTCTTTCAAATGTGTTTGTGTGTATTTAGGTCCGTGAGCCACCGCACCCTCTGTGTTTGTATTGGGTTCTTTTTCTTTTGTATTTTTAGTAGAGATGGGGTTTCGCCATGTTGGTCAGGCTGGTCTTGAACTCCTGACCTCAGGTGATCCACCCGCCTCTGCCTCCCAAAGTGCTGGGATTACAGGCGTGAGCCACTGTGCCCGGTCTATTTTATTTTATTCATTTATTTTTTGGAGACAGAGTCTTTCTCTGTTGCGCAGGGTGGAGTCTCACTCTGTTGCCCAACTTCCACCTCCAGGGTTCAAGCGATTCTCCTGCCTCAGCCTCTTGAGTAACTGGAATTATAGGTGCCCGCCACCTCGCCCACCGAGTTTTTGTATTTTTAGTAGAGACGGGGTTTCTCCATATTGGTCAGGCTGGTGTTGAACTCCCGACCTCAAGTGCTCCTCCCACCTCGGCTTCCTAGAATGCTGGGATTACAGTTGTGAGCCACTGCACCCAGTTGTATTTTCCACTTTACTGCAAGGACCAGGGAGTGGGCCAGTCCACCATGGGGACCCGTCATCTTCACGCAGAGAGAGAGGGCCAGGGTCTCACCATTCGGAGGCAGACACCATCTCCTGATCAGGCTGGTTTCCCACAATGTGGTCGATAATCTCGAGACTGCATTTGGGCCTGGGAAGGGAAGAAAATGGGGGTGAGAAGGTGGCTACCCCCTAGATTGCTCCCTTCTCCATGACCCCTCAATAATAATAATAGCTCACACTTCTGTTTTCGGAGTTTTATTTTTTGGTAGAGATGGAGTCTCTACACAAAGACAGATGCTTTTGTTGCCCAGGTTGGTCTAAAACTCTGGAGCTCAAGTGAACCTCCTGCTTCAGACTCCCAAAGTGCTGGGATTACAAGTGTGAGCCACCGCGCCCAGCCTCACACTTATGTAGCATTTACTATGGGCTGGACATTTTATTTTGTCAACTCGTATACTATTACGGTCCCCATTTTACAGATGAAGAAACTGAGGTCTAGAGAGATGAAGCGACTTGCCCAGGGCGAAATGGCTGTGAAGTAACAGAGCTGAGATTTGAACCCGGGAAAGTTTGGTTGCAGAGGCCATGGTCTCAGCCTCTATGCCACCTCTTCAAGCACCCCCAAGGACTTCCAGGAATTTCCTAGTGGGCTCCATTCTGCCCCAACACACATGCACAGTGGACATGGAGGAAGGGGCATTACTTTTCACAGTACCTCAGGGCTTTCCACCCACCTCTGCCCCGAGAGACACTCACAGTTTAGGAAGTAGGGGGTCCATGAACACTGGGGCCTCATATCCAGGCAAGAATTGGCCGGTGTAGTTCATCTTCTCCACCAGGGTGTGTGTGGTGTCCCCATACTACGGGTGGAAAACAGCCTGGCTCGGCCCCTGGGCACCCATCCCCACCGAGGACAGAGCACATTTCATAGCGCTAACGTAGCCCTGGGTTCCAACCCGTATCTGACCCTAACCAGATGTGTGATCTTGGGCAAGTCACTTCTCCTTTCTGAAACAAACTGCAATCTGTCACTTGTTTGAGAGTTTCTGTGAGGGCAGGGACACTGTTTTGCTCATCGTGGTGTACCCAGCACCAAGCTCAGTGCCTGGCACAGGGGAGGTGCTCAATGAAGCACCTACTTCATTTATTTCAGTAGGTCAACTAGATGAAGAACGCAGGAGGGCACTGGATTAAATTATACTGAAGAGTGGCCGGGCGCGGTGGCTCACGCCTGTAATCCCAGCACTTTGGGAGGTGGAGGCGGGTGGATCACGAGGTCAGGAGATCGAGACCATCCTGGTAAACACGATGAAACCTTATCTCTACTAAAAATAGAAAAAATTAGCCGGGCGTGGTGGCAGGTGCCTGTAGTCCCAGTTACTCAGGAGGCTGAGACAGGACAATGGCGTAAACCCGGGAGGCGGAGCTTGCAGTGAGCAGAGATCACGCCACTGCACTCCAGCCTGGGCGACAGAGTGAGACTCTGTCTCGAAAAACAAAAAAACAAAAATATTATACTGAAGAGCTCTGTCAGTCACTGTAGCCACCTTTTTTTTTTTTTTTTTTTTTAGGCAGAGTTCTGCTCTTGTTGCCCAGGCTAGAGTGCAATGGTGCGATCTTGGCTCACTGCAACCTCCATCTCCCAGGTTCAAGTAATGCTCCTGCCTCAGCCTCCTGAGTAGCTGGGATTATAGGCGTGCACCACCATGCCGGGCCCACCTCAACCTCCCGAAGTGCTGGGATTACAGGCGTGAGCCACTGCACCCAGGCTTTTTTTTTGAGATGGAGTCTTGCTTATTGCACAGGCTGGAGTGCAGTGGCATGATCTTGGCTCACTGCAGCGTCCTCCTCCTGGGTTCAAGAGATTCTCCTGCCTCAGCCTCCCAAATAGCTGGGACTACAAGCATGTGCCACCACACCCGGTTAATTTTTTTTTTTTTTTTTTTTTAGGCAGAGTTCTGCTCTTGTTGCCCAGGCTAGAGTGCAATGGTGCGATCTTGGCTCACCGCAACCTCCGCCTCCCGGGTTCAAGTGATTCTTCTGCCTCAGCCTCCCAAGTAGCTGGGATTACAGGCATGTGCCACCATGTCCAGCTAACTTTGTATTTTTAGTAGAGACGGGGTTTCTCCATGTTGGTCAGGCTGGTCTCGAACTCCCAACCTCAGGTGATCCGCCCATGTCGGCCTCCCAAAGTGCTGGGATTACAGGCGTGAGCCACTGCGCCCAGCCCCACACCTGGCTACTTTTAGTGTTGTTTTACTAGAGATGGGGTTTTATCATGTTGGCCAGGCTGTTCTTGAACTCCTGACCTCAAGTGATCCACTCACCTTGGCCTCCCAAAGTGCTGGGATTACAGGCACACTCTAACCATTTTTATGTTTAATTTTTAAAACTTTTTTATTTTTATTTATTTTTATTTATTTATTTGAGACGGAGTCTTGCTCTGTCGCCCAGGCTGGAGTACAGTGGCACAACCTTGGGTCACCGCAACCTCTGTCTCCCGGCTTCAAGTGATTCTTCTGCCTCAGCCTCCCAAGTAGCTGGGATTACAGGCACCTGCCATGCCCAGCTAATTTTTGTATATTTAGTAGAGACAGGGTTTTGACACATTGGCCAGGCTGGTCTCAAACTCCTGACCTCAGGTGATCCACCTGCCTCAGCCTCACAAAGTGCTGGGATTACAGGCATACTTTAACCATTTTTATGTTTAATTTTATTTTTAACTTTAAAAAAAAAATTTATTTATTTATTTTTGAGACAGAGTCTCACTGTCAACCAGGCTGGAGTGCAGTGGTGTGATCATGGCTCACTGCAGCCTGCATCTCCTGGACTCAAGCAATCCTCCCACCTCAGCCTCCCATGTAGCTGGGACCACAGGCATGCTCCATCATGCCTGGCCAATTTTTAATTTTTTGTAGAGATGGGGTCCTACTTTGTTGTCCAGGCTGGTTTCAAATTCCTGGGTTCAAGCAGTCCTCCTGCCTTGGCCTCCCAAATTGCTGAGATTACAGGTGTGAGCCACTGCACCTGGCCTATTTATTTTTTATTTGTATTTTTAATTTTTGTAGAGATAGGGTCTCCCTATCTTGCCCAGGCTGGTCTCGAACTCCTGGCCTGAAGTGATCCTCCTGCCTCAGTCTCCCAAACTGCTGGGATTATAGGTGTGAGCCACTGTGCCTAGCCCTTTATGTTGAATTTAATCTGGAGGAGGTAAGAGCTACAATTGTCTCTGTATTACAGTAACACAGGTGCTGGCCAGGCCGCGTGGTGGCTCACGCCTGTAATCCCAGCACTTTGGGAGGCCGAGGCAGGCAGATCACAAGGTCCGGAGATCGAGACACATCCTGGCCAACATGGTGGAAACCTCGTCTCTACTACAAATATACAAAAATTATCTGGGCATGGTGGCGGGCGCCTGTAGTCTCAGCTGCTTGGGAGGCTGAAGCAGGAGAATGGCCTGCATCCGGGAGGTGGAGCTTGCAGTGAGCCAAGATCGCACCACTGCACTCCAGCCTGGGCGACAGAGTGAGACTCTGTCTCAAAAAAAAGGAAACACAGGTGCTAAACAAACATTGGTCGTCTTGCTGAGTGTCTAACGTGCTAGGCACTGTTCTAAGTGCTATACACAAACGACCTCATTGGATCCTTTTTTTTTTTTTTTTTGTAGACAGATGTTATTCTGTCACCCAGGCTGGAGTGCACAGTGCAATCTCGGCTCACTGCAACCTCTGCCTCCTGGGTTCAAGCGATTCCTCCCACCCTCAGCCTCCCAAGTGGCTGGGACTACAGGTGCACACCAACCAGGGCTGGCTAATTCTTGATTTTTTTTTAGTAGGGTGGGGTTTCACCATGTCTCCAGGCTAACCCTGACCTCAAGAGATTTGCCCACCTCAGCCTCCTACGGTGCTGGGATTCATGGGCGTGAGCCACTGCACCCAAAAAAAGAAAAAAGAATAAAGAAAAACAGCTTGGCACGGTGGCTCCTTGGATCCTTACGATGACCTCTATGAGAGAGTCCATAGCTCGAAGATACTGAGTTTGCAGCATAGAAAAGGAACGAGAATCATGTCCTTTGCAGGGACATGTGGTGGACTGGAAACCGTTATCCTCAGCAAACCTAACACATGGAACAGAAAACCAAAACACTGCATGTTCTTCACTAGAAAGTGGGAGCTAAAGCAATGAGAAAACTGGACCCACATCACGGGAACAACAGACACTGGTCAAGAGGCGGGAGGTCAGGGAGGGAGCACACCAAGAAGATACGCCTAATGGATGCTGGGCTTAATACCCAGGTGGATGGGATGATCCCTCCGCTAGCAAACCCACCAAACTCGACACCACGTTACCTATGTAACAACCTGAACATCGCAGCACATGTAACCCCAGAACCTATAATAAAAGTTAAGAGGCCCGGTCTGCGCGGTGGCTCACACTATAATCCCAGCACTTTGGAGGCGAAGGCAGCGGATCCACGAGCTCAGAAATGAGACCCATCCTGGGCCAAAACGGTGAACCTCTACTAAAAATATAAAAAATTTAGCCGGCCATTGGTGGCAGGCGCTCTGTAGTTCCTAAGCTGCTCGACAGGCAGATGCAGGAGAATGGCGTGAACGCTGAGGGCATGTGAGTGCTTCAGGTGAGCCAAGATCCGCGTGACACTGCACTCCGACGAGTGATGATCGTCTCAAAAAAAAAAAAAAAAAAAAAAAAAATCAAAGAAAAACAGCCTGGCAGGTGGAATCATGCCCGTAATCCCAGCACTTTGGGTAGGCTGAGGCAGGAGGGATCGAGCCTTGAAGTCAAGAGTTTGAGACCAGTCTTGGGATCACAATCGGCGAAACCTGTGTTTTACTACTAAAACACAAAAATTAGCCTGGGCGTGGTGCAGACGCCTGTAATCCCCGGAGCTAAAGACAGGAGAATCACTTGAGCCCAGGAGGCAGAGGGCAGGTGCAGTGGGCTGAGATCACGCGACTGCACTCCAGCCTGGCAACAGAGTGCAGACTCCATCTCAAAAAGAAAAATAAAAAGGCCCGGGCGCAGTGGGTTCATTGGCCTGTAAATCCCAGCAACTTTTGGGGAGGCTGAGGCAGGCGGATCACCAGGCTCAGGAGATTGAGAACCATCCCTGGCTGAACACGGTTGAAACTCACCCCGTCTCTACAAAAATACAAACAAAGAAAAATTAAGCCGGGCATTTGGTGGCGGGCACCTGTGGTCCCAGCCACTCGGGATGAACTGAGGCAGGAGAATCGCTTGGAATCCGTGGGAGGCGGAAGTTTGCAGTGAGCCCCGAAATCACTGCCACTGCACTCCACCCCTGGCGGTGATCAGAGCAGGCCCTCTGTCTTTAAAAAAAAAAAAAAAAAAAATTTGAAGATAAAAAAAAAGATCTCCTGTGAGGACAGGAAAGTTGAGCGCATGTCCCAGATCACATAAGCGGTCCAGTTCCAGTCCCTTGCTCATTTTAAAACAGAGTCATAGACGAGGTAGCATGTAATATGCCCAACGTCACACAGCTCGTGGTGATCTCAATGTCCTCAGACCCCATCCTTTCCCCTTCTCAGAGCCCCTGCCTTCACCCCCTTGCTGTCATCCCTCCCACCCTGGGAGGAAGGGAAGCATGGGAGGACGGGGCTGGTGGCTCCTACAGCCCCTGTACACTGGCGGCCAGGCATTATGCGAGCACAGACATTTGAGGGACAATGTCTGTGCATCCGAGGCCCATGGGTGGGATGGTTTGATGGAGTCAGCTGCTGGGGCTCCTGCATCTCAGTGGTGCCGATAGCAGGTGAGGGGTGGGGGCCACCAAAGGCAACTCACCGTTGCAGCAAGCAGCAACTTCACAAAACTTCCCAAACTTGGCTTGCCTAACCCAAGGCTCCCGCACGATTTGGCGCCCCGTTCCCTGTGCTTTCTGCAGAGAAGATGGGATTTGGGGAAGTTGGTGAGGCCGGAGTACTTCAGAACCCTCGCCTGCTGCCTGCCGCCAGGAGGCCTCTGTGTGTCCTGGCGCAGGCCCCTCCAGTTTCTCCCAGCCCCAGGTAGACCACCAGGCAGCTTCACTCATTACCCCAATACTCATCCGCCTCGTTTGGCAAGTAGGGAAAACTGAGGCCCAGCCCAGAATGTTGTGGGCTATGGGAGACAAACTAGGTAAGATGGGTGTCATATCCTGCTCTCTGTCTAACTCCCCCTGTGATCATTCCCCCCTCTCTAGTCCTCAGTTTCACCATCTGTAAAAGAATGGTTGGATGAGAATAAGAAGATGATTCATTGCCGA